TTTAATACTTTTTGATATGTAATTGCACGGGTTTTTAGTAGATTTCTTGCCTTAGCTCCATCACTATCTCGTCGGGGTTAGTTCGACACTTGTTGAGTACATTGGGTCGGTTGCACTCATACTATATTTCTTGTGCATATCCGAATATTGGTATCAGTAGTGTCCCAAGGGAAACTTAGCAAATACCAGGCGATGATTCAAGGTAAAGATGCATTCCCTTTGCATGCCTTAGAGTCACGTAGTCACTTTTCTAGTTCCATTGTATTGTTTCCATTTTGTTTCGGACACTGTTGTGTTTCCTTTCAAACAATGTATTTAGTATAGCCTGAAAGCTCATGTACTTGTGACTCCACATCTTGGGATATTCATGTTAGATGTTGGTTTTAGACATATTGTGTAAATATCATAATTGCTTTTATCGTATTTTATTACTCTATTGCTAGTCTTTTATAGCAGTTCTTCCTATTTATTTATTGTGTGTTGGCTTGCCTTGAAAGTATTGTTAGGCGCCATCATGACCCCGATTGGTTGGGATTTCATGTCGTGACATACACCCTCTTGTGCACTCAATAGTACATCTAACTGATACACCCGTTCCGAAGAAACTTTTTGCAAATCCAAAGTTGTTTCTTCCATCTCTCTAACACTACCTCGCCGACCCGATAATGATATAGATATACTCTAAGTCCATTTCACAAATCTGCTGCAAAACTAAATCCTTAGCCACAATGAACCCGAAGATCCTTAGGCACCACACTTTAAATCTTGAACCCACTCGGACCATCCTTGAGAGTCGCCCACTCTGACCTAGTCCGGAATCTCTAGTCAACAAGTCGAATGGCTAGTGCTCCATTAGCACATGAATACTCCAAAGAAACCACCAAATGAATCCTTTCCCTTGCACATCACATTCACAAAGAAATATCAAATCTGAGTCATTTCACAACCTTCACATACCAGTATGGTTATAGCGTATATCCATTAAATCCTTTGCTCGAATTACCCATGATGTCCTCCTGCTCAGTCATAACTAGTTTTCAATATATCGGAATCCAGAAACTACAGAAACACATGACTAGGTGACCCAAACATCGATAGTAGGCTCCCTCACTTGGCTTTAAGCTACAATCACATAGTCCAAGGACCCGCACTGACTTCTCCTCCAAGCTACCATGATCTCACACCGTTATCCAGCTAAATTTCTCATAAGTTCTTGTTGCACTAATCATAACACCTCCTAAATTATCAACACCAAATGCGCACTTAACCTCATGACACGCGCCACCTTCTCCAAGCGATTCAGACCCACATCATAGTACATTCCTTCCACTGGATAGAAGGTAAAACTCTTCATATGAACCTCGTAAGAAATCATGCAACCCCTAACCTTCTCACAGGAGATAGCCCACCAGTTTAACCCCATATCGACATCCTCCAACGACATTGCCATGGTTATGGGTGGACATAAAATCTAAAATATCAAATTCCGAACCGAACCGAATTAATTTGGTATTTCGGTATAAGTTTATTCGGCAATTTGGTATTCTTCGGTATAGATTTTTTGGTGTTTTGGTATTTTGGTATGATACTCGGTATTAAGTTTTCGATATTTTGTATACTGATATACCGAAATATTTCCTATAGTTCTAGTCCTACACTAACCAGCCGGCCAACCCATCTCAATAATTATATTTTTTTAGCCCATTAAACTAAGCCCAACAGCCAGAAAGACATGACACTGAAATTATACATAGATCGTCTCTCCCATTATTGTCATGAAGTTGTCATCTTCTGCAAGTAAAAAAAACTTTTCTTAGAAATTTTCTAGCTTCAATATTTTCCTGTTTTCTTTGAAAATCCCTTCAAATATAACGTACCAACCATGTGCACAACACCCACTTTGAAAGCTCAAAATTATCTTTATTATGTCTTCGCTGATCTGCAATCTGTTCCTTCCTTGTACACTTCATTCTTTCTAATAATATATTTTTACTTTTTGGATTGATTTACTCTACTCTTTCACCGAATCACCAGTGGCCAGCGCCACTACTTGTCATATTAGATAGGAACGGTGCGATACCGAAATCATACTAAAATTGTACCGAACCGGAAAAAAAATACCGAATCGTATTGAACTACTTTGGTGTGGCATCTGGTATCCAAAATTGATATACCGAATAACAAAGTACCAAATTGTAATTCATAAATACCATACCGAAGTACTGAATGCCTACCCCTAGCCATGGTTATAACCACTATCAAATCAGTTAATCCTCCTGAATGCACACTTTTTGCACCTGTTGTAAGAGCATGTTCATTCCATTAACATAAACTAAAGGTCGAACAATACGTTTAAAACTAGAAGCTATATTGCATCCCAAAATTATAATCAAGCATTCACATTCCTCTACATTCCAAGCAAACTCTTTTCGTCACATTCGAGCCTCCTAAGTATAGAAGCCATCATCTCAAACGCAATACACAGACTTAATCATTTGTCCACCATGACCCAAAACACACTAGCATTCTCAAAGCATGTCGATACCCTACCACAAAATCCATAATGATAAGCTCTCACTTCCACTCTTGTCTAACCATATTCCGAAGCAAAGTACTCGATCTCTGCTGCTCATACTTCACCGGCTAACAATTCAACAACTACGATACATATCCCATCATGTCCTTTCTGATCCTCCGCAACCAATAATGCCGCCCCAAATCATGATCCATCTCTGTAGCACCCGAACAAATAGAATGCCATCGCCTCTAAGCCTCCTCATGGATCATCTCCCTCGAACTATCAACACTGGAAACACAAGTTCGACCCTGAAGTCACAACACACCGTCATCTCCGATAACCGCTTCTTAGGTACCATTCGCAACATCGTGCCCCAAAGACAAACAAATAAAAACCATCATACTGACGAGCCTTAATGCGCTCAAACAAGGACGACAACAGAACATCATAAACAATGACTCTACCAAGTTCAAAAACACCCAATGTTGCAAACCCGTCGGCCAAAGCCCAAACATCCATAGCCCAAATGCCTCTCCTGCAGTAGAATTAACACCAAACTCCCAGCCATGAACTGAATAATCCTCCTCCCAAAGCATTCTCCGTAGTGAGACATACGTGAACACTCTACCACTCCGCACCAACACCACATTAGGACCCATGCGTGAAGCATCAAAATATATTGTGTATAGCCCTGAACTTGTGGGTAACACGAGCACTAGTTGAAATAATCGGACACCCTTCCGCGAGGCAATAATAGTAATCTGCCCTCATAATGCAGGGAAAAACATCCTGCACCACACATGTAGCATCACCACAACTCGTCGATGCCCCACTAATATCAAGGGCTTGACATCGCATTTGAATGAGAAGGCTCTCGAGGATAAGTACAGATGTCTCTATACCGATCCGCAAGACTCTACTACACTTGCTCATGACTCGTATGACCTAAGTGAACCTAGTGCTCTGATACCAAGCTTCCATGACCTAATTTTCCACCATAGGCCGTGATAGTGTCCAACGTTGTCGTTAGGCAAGCCAACAATTAAATCAACATGTCGATAAATAATTCAAAACGCATCTCGAAACAAAGAATGAAATAAGTAATTAGAATCGTTCATTCCCATAATAAAATACTGATATTATTTTAAATATCCGAACGTGGTCAAAATATAAATTCGGATATCATAACAAAATACGACTAAGAACAAGAATCTAAATCCCGAAGACTCGATGTCAAAAGTGCATGAGCATCTACTGGAATATACAATACTATTATAACAATTGTTTGGAATAGAAAATAGAATGAATACAATAAATAAATAGGACAATGACTTCGTATACTGTGGATCGTAACCTGGAATGCAGACAACCATAAAGTCTTCTCAACAGTTGCGCCTACGCTCCTAGATGACCACGGAATGTACCTGTCTCAGTACCTGCACAATTAGTACAGAAGTATAGTATGAGTACATAAATCAACACGTACCCAACAAATATTTAATCTAACCTCGAGAAAATAGTGACAAGGGATCGACATAGACACTTATTAGTGGTCCGATAATCAAACTATAATAAAAGTAGAAAGGTATGATGCATAGCAAGATCTTTTCTTTCGCGAATTAAATATGCAATTTATCTATAATAAAAAAGCTGGTCTCAATCGCAAAATCATTTCTTTATAAATTAAAGGCACTGTAGTAATTTTACAACATGAAAATAGGTATAAACTTTATGTACCGATTTTTTCCTTCGTTTGCGTATCTGATATCAGTGACAGAATAGGAGAGTTACTTACATCTCATTTCACCAGCTAGATATGCAATTTAGGTAATTAAAAAAAGTCTCAATTAGCAAATGTCCTTTCCTTATAATTTTAATTAACTTTGAGATGTCTTTTTTAGTTTAATCCACGTAAATATGTATAAAGGCAGATCATCTTAGAAAACTAAATAGGTATAAAGTTTATGTACTTATATCTTTTCTTTTTTTGCTCATTTAATAGGAGAGGTATAATTTAAATCTCAATCGCCAGTTAGGTAGACAATTTAGGAATTTAAAAAAGGATCTCAACTGGAAAAATCCTTTCTTTACAAATTTGAAATAAATTTGAGATCTCATTATTAGTTTAACCATGTAAATATGTGTAAATTGTATTCATTTTAGAATATTAAAATAGTTATAAAATTTATGAGCCTATCATCAGTGACAGAATAGGTCTTTGGTGGCAGGTATATATATGCAAATTTCTTTACATATTTTACTTATAATTTGAGATCTCTACATTAGGATAACCCACGTAATTATGGGTAAATGGTATTCATGTTAATCTATTTATAATAGGTATAGTGTTTAATACACTTATATTCTTAAAATGCCAAGTAATATGAACTTACCATTTAGTAGAATCAAAGCCAGATAGCACATGTTTTTATGATTAGTATAAATAGAAGTGGAAGAGATGAGAAAGATAAATTGCTTTAAAATTACAAAATGAAGATGAATCAAACATTAGCAACATTTTTCGTTGTGATCGCTATTTTTATTCTTACATCAGGTATATTTTTGCTAAACTAATTTTTCTTGTTTTTTATTCCAACATGTTAATAATTTTCAGGTAATAATTTAAAAATGATGATACATGAGTAAAAAGAAGTTTTTCTACCGTTTCCAAAAAGGTGGCAAGTCTTTGGACTTTTTTTTTTCCCATTAATTAATCAAATGAAAATGGATTTGACTAAGGCCATATTAACTGTGTTAAAGTCAAATTATCCGCGGGGAGAGATTGTTTATAAGTTGTCCAGTAAACTTGTTTAACTTTAATAACAAGTTATTTTTTGTATGTGCAGACAATGGAATGCGTTCAGTTGAAGGTATTGAAACAGGGATTTGTGAACGATTTGTACTAGGGGTTATTTGTCCACCAGAAAAAGATTCAAGGATATGCCTAACGGAGTGCACTAACATATCCGGAGGTCATAAACCCATTAATCATCCTTGTTTACAAGCCAAAGATTCATCTATCTGCTTTTGTCAATGGCTATCAGATTTATGTTAATGGAGATCTTCTACATCCATCAAACATTCATTACTCTCGATCAACACATAATTAAGTACACCAACCAATTCTAGAAGAAAACTTTGATTGTAATAAGATATATATAGCAGTTGTACTTGTTGATTCTGCATCAAGTTTTCTTGAGTATAAGAATTTCGTAAAGTATGATTCAGTGTTCAATATTTTCGAATAGGTTTCTTAACATATATTCTAGATTTAAACTAACAAGAAATTGCCAAGGGTTACACTGTGTTAGAATGCAAAATTAAAGGACCTTCGAATTTTAAATTATACCATATATACATTTTATTTAACATGTCAGGTGTGACCAAAAAGATCACGAGTTCAATGAAAGATTTTTATAAATAAATTAAGGAGCATTGCATTGCATAGATCATGAATATTACGATAAAAAATTGGAGGGTCATCACTTACACTTAACAAGCATTCTATCCGGTAATCGCACTCTTAAATGTCAAGCATTAAACGTCACATATCACGTTATCATGTAAAGATGGAATATTCTCAATGTGAATCTGAATTAATCGGGCCTCAAAATAAATAGCGAACACCGAATATAAAAACAAAAAGTAAAGGGTAATAGACAGCCCAATACAACGATACAACCTATTTTTTTTCCTTTAACCACACCAGAAAAATATGGCCTGTAACCATTGATCAAAGGTCAAATTTTTTACCTAAATCAACGCTTTTTAGGGATGGCCTATACAAACATAACATTTACCCCAAAACAATGTTTCGGATCGTGATAACTCAGCAAAATAACATTTATAGGCTGTAATTTATATCAACATACTTCGGTAAATAAAAAAAACAAGAGTAGAAAAGAAAGAAAGAATATCATCTCACTCTTACTTCTAATTTAAAATGATTGTCTAGAACAACATTCCCTTTAATATATCTTTCTAATTAGTTATCTTCTTGTTTTCATTGCATGTTTTGTAACGACCCGCACGGTCGTTTTGAGCATTTGCACTTTGCTCGGTAGTTTGGGGGCACGAGAATATTTGTATGATGTATTAGTACTTGTGTGCAAATCTGAGTTCATTCCGAGTTGATTTGATATGTTTCGGCGCGGTTTTTGAAAGTCGAAAGCTTGAAAGTTCATTAAGCTTGATTTGAGGTGTGTTTCGTAGTTCGGATGTTGTTATGTGTGATTTGAGCCCTCGAGTAAGTCCGTATTATGTTATGGGACTTGTTGGTATGTTCGTATGGGGTCACAAGGGGCTCGGGTGAGTTTCGACAGGTTTGGGTTGTTTTGCGCTCGTTTTTCTTATGTTTCAATGTCATTTCTTCAAGCATAAATGGTACCATATTAAACAAATGAGCTCCGATTTCTATTTTGATGGAAGAACTAGATCCGTATCATAATTACGGAGCCATTGCAATAGGCATCATCGAATTTGGACATCGTATGAGGATTTTATGATCATTTTACTAAGAATTGGGTTGTCAGATTTTTCAAATTACTTACAAAATTGCCACTGACTTCGTATTTAAAGATCTGCACTATTTCCAAATATTAAAACCAACATATCTCATTCATTATAAGGTCAAATGGAGTGATTTAAAAGCCTAACTTGACTGAAATTTCACAAGGAATCCATTAGAGGCATCAAAATCAAGTTTCGGGATCATTTGGCACGCAAAACGAGGCACAACAGCTGGACAAAAATACTTAATATTGAAGGTTTGTTCATTTGGTCATATTTTGAGTTGCGGAGCTCGGATTTGAACAATTTTTTAAGGAGATTTTAACCATATGGATTTGGAAAATGTTCTATACTCGATTTTCGTTGTATTTCATGAATCCATCTTTGTTTTTGGCATTATTTGATGTATTTGAGTTGATTTTGGCTAGTTTTGAGCCGTTCGGAGGTCGGTATGCGTGGGATGGTATTTTTGGAGCATTGTTTGGCTTGCTGGGTATTGGATTTGGCTTGTTCGAGGTACATAACATTTCTAAACTTGGTGTTGAGGGTATAAAACCCCGAATTACGTGTTATGTGTTTGGTGTTGAGGCGACACACATGCTAGGTGACAGGCGTGTGGGAGTTTAGAAACTATCTTGAAAATTTCATGCAATTTGGTGCTAAATTCGTAGTTCTAGCTGTTATTTTGGTGATTTGATCGCGTGAGAAAGTTCGTATGACGTTTTAAGACTTGTGTGCATGTTTTGTTTGGAGCCTCGAGGGGTCGGGTGAGTTTCGGATAGGCTACAGAGTGATTTGGAACTTAGAAAAGTTGGTGGTGCTCTTCAGCAGTGTTGCAGGCCTCAGACCTCGCAAATGCAAGGTCAAGGTTCGCATTTGCAACTACTGTGGAGGTTGCATTTGCGAGGCTTTCATCGAAAATGTGAAGGAAGGCTGGGCTAGCAATTCTCGAATTTGCGAGGTTACCTTCGTAATCGCGAATGGAGTCTGGGAAGGGACAGGATCGCAATGCGATATTTTACTCGCATTTGCGAGGTTCAGTGATCGCAATTGCGATACTTTCCTCACATTTGCGAAGGCACCAGGACTATGAAGGGCTTCACAACTGCAATGGCACCTTTGCATTTGCGAGCTTCACATTTGCGAAGCTCAGGTCGCAAATGCGACATTTGCAGCTGATAAGTCTAGACTTAGACAGGATTTTTAATTCATTCTCCCATTTTTCAAAACCTAAACCTCGAGGGGCGATTTTCCAAAGGCTATTTCTTCCCCCAAATTATAGGTAAATGATTCTTAACTCATTTCTTTCAATCTTTTACTTCTTTTCACAAGATTTCATCCTAGAATCTAGGGTTTTCCCGGTGGAATTGGGGATTTTTGGGTTGAACTTAGGAATTTTTAAATTTAAAGATTTAGACCTCAAATTAAGGTCGGATATGAAAACCAATTGTACATCAGGGCTCGGGGGTGGGTAATCGGGTTTTGGTCCGAATCTCGAGTTTTGACCAAGCGCGCCCGGGGTCAATTTTTGAAACTATCTTGAAAATTTCATGCAATTTGGTGCTAAATTCGTAGTTCTAGCTGTTATTTTGGTGATTTGATCGCGTGAGAAAGTTCGTATGACGTTTTAAGACTTGTGTGCATGTTTTGTTTGGAGCCTCGAGGGCTCGGGTGAGTTTCGAATAGGCTACAGAGTGATTTGGAACTTAGAAAAGTTGGTGGTGCTCTTCAGCAGTGTTGCAGGCCTCAGACCTCGCAAATGCAAGGTCAAGGTTCGCATTTGCATCTACTGTGGAGGTTGCATGTTCGAGGCTTTCATCAAAAATGTGAAGGAAGGCTGGGCTAGCTATTCTCGAATTTGCGAGGTTACCTTCGTAATCGCGAATGGAGTCTGGGAAGGGACAGGATCGCAATGCGATATTTTACTCGCATTTGCGAGGTTCAGTGATCGCAATTGCGATACTTTCCTCACATTTGCGAAGGCACCAGGACTATGAAGGGCTTCACAACTGCAATGGCACCTTTGCATTTGCGAGCTTCACATTTGCGAAGCTCAGGTCGCAAATGCGACATTTGCAGCTGATAAGTCTAGACTTAGACAGGATTTTTAATTCATTCTCCCATTTTTCAAAACCTAAACCTCGAGGGGCGATTTTCCAAAGGCTATTTCTTCCCCCAAATTATAGGTAAATGATTCTTAACTCATTTCATTCAATCTTTTACTTCTTTTCACAAGATTTCATCCTAGAATCTAGGGTTTTCCCGGTGGAATTGGGGATTTTTGGGTCGAACTTAAGAATTTTTAAATTTGAAGATTTAGAAAACCAATTGTACATCAGGGCTCGGGGTGGGTAATCGGGTTTTGGTCCGAATCTCGAGTTTTGACCAAGCGGGCCCGGGGTCAATTTTTGAAACTATCTTGAAAATTTGATGCAATTTGGTGCTAAATTCATAGTTCTAGCTGTTATTTTGGTGATTTGATCGCGTGGGAAAGTTCGTATAACGTTTTAAGACTTGTGTGCATGTTTTGTTTAGAGCCTCGAGGGCTCGGGTTAGTTTCGGATAGGCTACAGAGTGATTTGGAACTTAGAAAAGTTGGTGGTACTCTTCAGCAGTGTTGCAGGCCTCTGACCTCGCAAATGCGAGGTCAAGGTTCGCATTTGCAACTACTGTGGAGGTTGAATTTGCGAGGCTTTCATCGAAAATGCGAAGGAAGGCTGGGCTAGCAATTCTCGAATATGCGAGGTTACCTTCGTAATCGCGAATGGAGTCTGGGGAAGGGACAGGATCGCAATACGATATTTTACTCGCATTTGCGAGGTTCAGTGATCGCAATTGCGATACTTTCCTCACATTTGCGAAGGCACCAGGACTGTGAAGGGCTTCACAATTGCAATAGCACCTTCGCATTTGCGAGCTTCACATTTGCGAAGCTCAGGTCGCAAATGCGACATTTGCAGCTGATAAGTCTAGACTTAGACAGGATTTTTAATTCATTCTCCCATTTTTCAAAACCTAAACCTCGAGGGGCGATTTTCCAAAGGCCATTTCTTCCCCCAAATCATATGTAAATGATTCTTAACTCATTTCTTTCAATCTTTTACTTCTTTTCACAAGATTTCATCCTAGAATCTAGGGTTTTCCCGATGGAATTGGGGATTTTTGGGTCGATTTTAGGGATTTTTTAAATTTGAAGATTTAGACCTCAAATTAAGTTCGGATATGACAACCAATTGTACATCAGGGCTCGGGGGTGGGTAATCGAGTTTTGGTCCGAATCTCGGGTTTTGACCAAGCGGGCCCGGGGTCAATTTTTGACTTTTTGGGGAAAATGTTGGGAAACTCATAATTATGTATTGGAATTGATTTCTTTAGCGATAATTGATGTTATTAAGTTAATTATGACTAGATATGAGTGGATTGGGGCTGGAATCTAGAGGAAAAGCGGTAATTGAGCTTTGAGTTGACCGTTGGATTGAGGTAAGTGTTATGTCTAACTTTGACTCTAGAGATTAGGAATCCCCGACTTATTTTCTACGTGTAAATCCATGTGTGTGGCGTATAGGTGAGGTGACGAGTACCTATGCGCCGCCAAATTATCAATTTAGCCTGTCCCTTTCCCCATTCCTAATATATAGTCTTCCTGTCTTAACTGCTACATGCTTATTGGTGCTTCCATGTTTAATTGCTTCTTATTAGATGTTGTTTTCTTTATTGAAGGTAGTA